AACAACAACAACACCAACAACAACAGGCGCCTTCCCTTGGATAGGCGAGCAGAGCGAGGATGAGTCCGCGGAGCTGGAGCGCACCCTTGCCACGCTGGGGCGGGAGCTGCCGCTTGGGCATGTGATGCGGGCGTGTCTTTTCAGGGTATCCCTTTTTTTCTTCTCATTTTTTTGGGGTGGGTGGAGGGAGCAAACAAGAATGGGCGCACCTTGCGGGTGAGGGCTGCCACAATAGCCCAATGTAAGGGCTAGAGCGAAACCCCAGTCGAAGCACGGGGCCGAGAGGGCGATCCAGGCCAAGTTCCGCGGTCTGGGCCCACTCCACTCCTGCTTTCACAGCCCACCCTTCAGTGCTTCGAGGCCGCGCAGGGCTTCGCTAACCCCCTTGCCGGCGGTTTAGATGCGGGTTTAAAGGGATCATGTCTGTGCCCCTGGTGCTGGGGGGTTTGAGTTGACGCGCGTCACCTCGTCTCTGCAGTCCTTCGGGCGAATGGGGCCGAATGATGGAAAACCATGGGAAATGATCGGGTTTCCGCCTCACCGAATTGCAGAAAATGGGGTTCCGTGTTGACGCAACACAATGCAAAATGGGGCATGATTTCTGTGCGAGTTACATTTGGATCAACCAGGATACTTTTTGTGGCTCCATTGAGCCCACGTGGTGAAACGGACGCCAAAGAAAGCTGTGGGACACAATTCACCGTTCGCACATGTCATAATTCACCAGCCTGAATCAAGAGCACTGCGTTACCTCCATAGAACTCAGATCTGCAAGGTTGCCATGACCTACGCAGAAATCATGGGCCTCCCAAGCCCACTACGGCCACGATTCGAAGTGCGAAGGCTTCCCCGAAGACTTTCCTTGGGAAGCAACTCGTTTCCACAACACCGACCTTTTCGCCAAAGAACTAATCCTTTTCTATTGGGTCGCAAAAATCAGCAAAGGAAACCCAGCATTCCCCACCTTGCCAACCACCTGGCAAACACTTCTGATAGGCACCCTGGTGTAAAGCCTGGTCAACCTGGCGCAAACCTCCGAGGCTGGCGCTAGGGCGGCAGCAGCAGATGATGCAGGACAGAGAAAGCAGCTGAGGGGGAAAGGCGGAAGATGACGGAAGAAACGCCCAAAGTGGCTAAAAAATCATTGCTCCCTTGAACCATGGCAGGTTGAACCAGCTTAGACCGGGCCAAAGATGGGAAGAAGTTCGCCAGGACGCTCTGGAGGTGCACCGCCGCGCCATGCAGGCGATGCTGCGGCCTTGCGGCGAGCTCGGGGCCCCAAGTTGGCTTTGGCGAATCTTCGGCCGGGCTTCGGGTGCTGGGCGAGCGGTTGATATGTGGCTGAGAGGCAGTTTTGGGGTCAAGGGTCGTCTTGGCTGGCTTGGATTCGTGTGTTTTTTTAACTGGGCGTTGTCTTGAAAATGCGGCCGGCTCCTTGAGCGCCACCTTTCCAACACAACGCCTCTCAACGGGCTCCAATTTGGACGGAGGAGACGTCTCTCCGCATCTCTCGCCGTACGTCCGACGAGGAATGGGCCGCGGCCCTCCGTGATCTCGCCGGAGGGCACCTCGCCCAGCCTGCGGATCAGCTACGACTTCGACGCGCAGGCGCGGCGCATTTCGGCGCTTCGGGCGCTTTTCGGCTACCGGGGCGGTGTTTTTGCGGAGGGATCTGAGGGCGAAGAGTCGAAGAGGGTGGAGTTTGGGAGTTTGGGGGGGGGAGAAAGTCGGACTTTTGGGAGGGGAAGACAAGATTTGGTTTATTGATCTGGGGTGAACAGAAAGCCGACCAGCTGGAGCGGGTAACCAGCTTCAGCCTTTGGAAAAGCATCTGCCGGGGCTTTTGCAGAATCCATCGAGAGCCGAGGTCCATGTAGAATTCTCGGTGGATTCCGGTAGATTTCTACGCTCGGTGGACACTGAAAGAAATCCATCGGGTAAAGGGCTGGGCTAGTTGGAAGCAAGGGTTTCGCTTCGCAGTGGCGTGGGGTTGGTGTAATGGGAAACCCAGATCTATAAGTAGAACTCCTGGTGGACTGTGGTTGGGGGCTTCAGACCACTTGGGCAGGGAACCCCCCCCCAATAGGATGGGTTCATCAATCCGGGGTCGACACCAAACTTGCGCCCAGATTTGTGGTTGAAAGGTATCCGTTGATCACCTGGAAGTGGCATCTTCTGCCCATGGGAAAAAGGACCTGGAATTGTTAAACAAGTATACTTCCATTTGCTGACATGTTTCTTAATTCTCCCCTGTTGGTGTCAAACAGAATCCATCACTATTGCACATATTGTATTTTTTGCAGGGGGCTTAAGCAAATGGAAACCTACTCACTTCCTGAGTTCAGGAACTTTACACTTTTTGGGAAGACCACTTCAGTGGCCTCTCCAGGACTTGTCTAGTGGTTGCGAGCCGGGTTTGCACGTGTGATTTTCAGGGCTTGCCACGTTTTGGCTGTTTGTTTCAGATGCCCCTGGGCAGGAGTTACTGAAACAGGGCCAAGCGTCAATCAACTGCCCTAACACACATATATATATATAGATATACACGTACACATGTATATGTGCATACTCATGTGTATGTATACATATGTATGTAGATATTTATGTACTTATTTGTATGTCTTTCTTGGTGTGGCTACCCCTTTTAGGGACTTCCAAAAGCACTTCGGCTCCTGTTCAGGACTTGGACGAGCTTAAGGCCCCGGGGAGCCGCGTTTGGGCGGAATGGCAACCGACTCCGGTGACACGTGGCTGTGGTTGTCAAAACCAATGGGATCCCATTTTGGGGTAGGTGAATTCACCACCCATTGTAGAACCTATATATTTTAGTGGGGATTGAATCGGATGTTCACTGGGGGTACGATTTGGATTTTGATTCATGGCCATGTGGCTCTCAGTTTTGGGGAGTCCAGTACCTCCTGTTTTGCGGGTGGTTTCCCTCTTTTTTGCGGTTTGGGGTGGTTTGGATTTCACCGTGGCCCCCAGAATTGAGATCAAAAGATGACCACACCATGGTTTGGGTAGAATCAACTGGCATTTCCGGGCCAACTTTCTACCCCAGGAATTTCATGGGAGCACCAATGGGGTCTCTGGTCAGCCATGTTCAGTGTGGCGTGCGGGATGCAGAGTGATTCAGGGAGAGGGAGGTGTCGGGAGGCGGCGAACCTCCTTGCCCTTTTCAGTTGGAAGTCGCCCGCGGATCGTTGCCGGCGTCACTTTTGACATCATGCTTTGATTATCATATGGCTTTGGGTTAAAACCAATGGTACCATTTTGGGGGTAGGTGCACCACCCATTTTAGTCTATCTTAGTGGGGATTGGGATGTTCACTGGGGGTACGATTTGGGTTTTGACCCATGGCCATATATGGACACAGCTCCCATTGGTTTGCGAAACTCGAATCCCCTCGCAGTTCTTCAAAGCCGACCTTTTGACCTTTTGGTTTTCCCATTTTGGTCTATTTTTAGTCATGGCCCCAAAAGGTTAACCTTTTAGTTCCGGGTCATTTGGGCAACTGAGCCCTTCTTAAGGACCGGGCCACTCTTCTTTCGGAGAAACCAACGCGCAAAGTTGGCGCCTCTTTCTGTTTCCCTTCGAGACGCCCCAGAAAGAGTTCTCGCGTGAAAAAGGGTCCCTTACTTGCAAGGCTTCACAAGCGGGGCGGGGTGGTTTGTAGGGGTTTTTAATGCCCTGGCCCTGGCCGCGGGGCCAAGCGGAATTTTTTGGAGAGGTGGAATCCAAAGGTAAGCCTTCGTTCAGGGGGGGGCTGCTATTGAACAAGTATATTCCAGACCGCCGACTTGGGTTTCGACTCGGATGTTGAAACCCCTATTGATGTTTTGCGGATGTTAGAGGCGTCCACACCACAAAACTAGAACATGTCCATGTCCCTCCCATGTTTTTGTTGTTTGAGGAGGTGAAGCTACCCCCTATAACTCAACTCCCCAGATTAGCGTGGAACCAAGCCATCATTTGTAGAGAGGTCTCTTCCTCAGAAACCCTTGTTTTTCCCTTGTTTATTTGTGGCTTCCTTTTGGGCGTGGGACCCCCCCCCCCCCCCCGCCCGCCGATTTGGATCTGAACACTTGTAAAAAATATACGTGGTGTTGGGATGTATCCTGGCCAAACCCTGGTACGCTCAACTACTACAGGGGGCTGAAGAATTGACACATCGCCTTCTCCCATCCAGAGCTTACTTGGTTTGATGCTCGACCTGGTCCATGCCTTTGCAAGAGAGGTGAAACGGGGGTGGTTTCCCAACTAGACCCACCAGAATTCTGGGCCCAAATCCAAATCCGAACCACCCCTGCGAACAACATCAAGCAACCAACGAAGGGTAAGGTGACGACTCGCAGCGGCTTCACCGAACCAGTCATCGGCCGCCTTTTTTTTTCTTCTCCGTTTTTCGCCAGGCCTCCCGGGCCTCCGGCCGGTTTTCGCCGCTGGGCACCCCCACCGCGCAGCCGGTGGCGGGGCCTCCGGCGGATTCTCCGGCCGAGGGGTCCCTGGAGAAGGCGGGGCTCTGGTTCCATGGGGCCTCTGGTGGTTTCGGAGGTTTCGGGAAACCGAAGGGACGGCTTTGGATCGGGGCAAACAAAAAGACAGGGGTTTCTGGCCCAAGACCTAAAAGTATAGTCCATCCCTTGCTGGGCGGAGTGGGGAGGGGTTGGAGGCTAGAGGCATTCGAATTCTTGGCGATTTGGAATATTACCATTGGGCTGAGTATTTAAAGCGAGCTTCTTTTGTTTGGTGGGGTGGTTTGCAAAAGGCTCTGTCATGTGAGGGAGGGGTTGGGGAGGGGAGTGTATCTCCCCCTTCGGGAAATCACATTTTTGAAAAGGGAAGGGGGGCAGGGTAAGACTGTCTCCAACAGGATCAAGGCTTGGTAAGATCTGACATCTTTGCTGGTTTGGGACCAACGCATGTTTGAAACAAAGCGGGAATCACCTCCCCAACTGGTCTTGCGCCAGGATAGCGGGAGGGCCACAGGTGAACCACCCATTTTTGAAGGTGTAAGAGGGGTCACCTGCAGGGGGACTCGGGGACTCCTTCTGGATCAAGTCCCAACTTGCGGAGGTCGGACACCTTTGTCAGCCTCTTACATCTTTTTGGGTGTCCTTTACCCTTTTGTTTTTTTTTCCCGGCGACTCGAGCTGTTTTTTTTTTTTTTTTGGGGGGGGGGGGGTTTTTGGTAACCCGCCCCGTGTTCGAAGCAAGTTTTGAGGTGGGCTTGAGTCCGAGTCCCTCCGAGTCCGGAATGATAGAGCTGTAGTTTCGTGTTGGTTTAGATGTATGGAAGGTATTCATTGTGGGCTGATGTTTTTTCCCCCTTTTTTCAATGGAAGCACAAAGGAAAAGGCCGGAGGCGCGGGTCGTTTTAAGTTGCACCCAATATTTGTTAAGAATCAGAGATTGCGAGCTCATGCTTTCTCACAGCGAGCAAGATATAACGATCCGTGTTCATGTTTTCCGAGTGAGCGGGTTTCAGCCACAGATTTGGGTTGTTGCTATGCCAGGGCGAATTTGCGTTCCTTTCAAAGGGCCAGTCACCGTTTTTGTTGCCATTGTGCGGCCCGGGCCTTTCTGCCAGCGGAAAGCCCGCCAGATGACGTCCAATCCGGCTGCGGACCCCGCGACGCAGGAAGCGAAAACTGCTGAGGCAGACGGAAGGATTTTCGGCTGGGTTGCGATCGCGGGGGATTATTCTCTGTAGCACCGTTAGTTTCCATACGGGTCACGTGTTTGGGCATTTCTTGGGACCTCAATTCAGATTTGTTGAGTTCCTAGCCGTCCTTCGGTTCAGGGCAATCCCGAGCGTTTCCCCAACAGCGCTCAAGGCCACGGGCTCGTTTTCGGCGGGGTGTGATTCGGGAGACGGCTTTGAGTTCCAGGGGTTTCATATTTTTTTTCCGCGGGGACAGGGTTGCTTGGAGCGCTCTTTTCTTGGCCGAAAACGGGCGAAAGGGGGTCGGGGGTCACCCTTGGAGTCCACTTCCCATTCCCATCTTCAAGCAAAAGCAAAACAACAACCATGTCCTAGCCACCCACAGAAGCTGGTCTACTTTCAGGCTGAAGTCTGCACCCCAGCTGAAACCCGACGCCATATGCTAGAGCCCGCACCGATCCCTGCAAACCTCGAAATCACTCTTTGTTTGGCCCCCTCTTAAAAACGGAGAAATCCGCCCAACAAGTGTGTTTTCGGTGCCCAATCCTTTGCATTTCCCATCCCCCCCCCCTCGCGGGTTCCGGAGCGGGTCACTTTGCAACTGGCAGCTGATGCTTTCCACTCGGTTCCATGTCGCGAGGCGGACGACAACCGCAGGCTGGGGTTTGAGATGAGGGGCTCGTATTGAGTTGAGGTCCGCTTCCATCCAGGGTCCAACTAGACGTGACGTCTTCAGGGCCGGTTTCAACAGCGCTTCCCTTAGGTTGATGTTTGAGGGACACCTGAAAGAACCGCTTTTTCCCTGGGCAGTAAAGCAAGCAACAAGATATTCAATTTGAACCTGCCCATTATTTTTGCAAAAAAAGACTTTGCTTCATGCAGTCTTGATCAAGCCGGTTGCGAAATTGGAATGAAGCCGGGCCGGCCAGGAGCTTGCCAAAGCAATGCAGTGGATGGACGAAATCCATTCGCACCACGAAGTGAAACCATGGGACGCCTTTGTTTGTTGATATTTACATGTATTTACGGGGGAATCATGATTCCAGTCTTAGATAATGCAGGATTTCGTCCATCCACTGTATTGGCAGCATCTTTAGGGAAGGGTTTGAATTGCCCAACTGTGTCAAGGTGAGCCCCGGCCCTCATCCCTTGAAACATGAACATGTTTTAGCCACCACAAATCTACGGTTGCCTCCCCGGAAGATTTGGTTCTTTGGCGTATTGCCCAACCCTGGCCGCTTTTGTCTCAGTTGCGCTGCAGTTGTCTCTCCCCGGCGATGTTCTGTCCTCCAGAAAGGTTTTTCCAAGAGGAGATCTGATGATGGTTGCACATGTTGTAGCTGCATTCTCTGCTCTTTGTTGTGTTTCGGTGTTTCAAGGCCAAAGGTTGCCGCAACGTTGCGCCAGAACCCAAATGGGTGGTTTGCCTTTGCCTTTTCTCTGCTTCTCCCCTGTTTCTCCGTCCTGCTATGGATGTGGTTCCGATTTTAAAATTTATACCCTTGGCTATGGTTTTCAAGGGACGCCAAGGAAGACCGAAAGCCATTTTGAGGGGGTCCTTGTTGCTGTTCCCTTTTTCATGTCCTGGGCTTTCACGGCCCAGGGGCTTCGAAAGCCGCAGCACCTCGCGCATGAGGCGCGGCGCGGCGCGCGTTTTTTTTTTGCTCGCGTGGCCGGGGCCTGGCGTTCTCGCAAAGGGCGCGCCAACGCAAGTTGCAATTGGCGATTTGAACATGGGCGGAAAATTGGCGACTGGTGAAATTGGGGGCCCCTGAAAGCGAACGTCTGGCCCACTTTGGCACACGTGTCACCTAGGGGCTAGAGGTTTCCATTCAGCTTTTGGCTCTTTTGGCTCATTTCGGCAGAGATGCATGGCAAAAAATCTGGGAGCAGGGGGCGGGGAAGGGGGGGGGGCGGGGTAATCACAAGATCAACCTTGGAATGAGATAGGCTGGATTGCTGTTTTCTTTTGTTGGTCCCATTTGAAAAGGGTGGAGTTATCCAACAGAGTTCCAATTCTGTCTCCGGGGAACGGACTTTGGTTTCCGAGGTTTTCCAAAGAACATGATGTTCGCCGAACATCACCTTCAATCAAGGTCGCGGGCAACAGCGACAATTAGCCGCAGATATCCCCCTTTTAGGCTTCTTACCTGGTGTTGGGTAGACATGGAGTCGTCATGGCATCCCCCTGCGCCTGAACCTTGCACTGCAAAGTGCAATGCTCCGGCCGGGTGGCGATGGCGCAGCATGCCAGGTAAGCCGAAGTTAGTTGTTTGGATTGGTGGTTTTGGGGCTTGAGCTCTTGTTCTGGTAGAGCGTAAGCAGGAAACCTTTGGTGATCATGTTTGGGGGGGGAATTTGTTTGCACCTCAACGATTTGTTCCGCCGCGCTCGCCAGGGAAAAACGGGATACTGCATGTACGTATCCTTTATGCAGCGGGCTTTTTGTTGTTGTGATATACGTATGTATATATATATATATATAAGATACATGTGTGTGTGTGGTCATGACTATTTTTAGGAACCCCTAAAATGTTGGTGTTCCTTTTGGGTTCCCTGCAACACCCGCCAAAACAGGCCTGAAAAACTGACAGACCCATATATGTAGATGTCTATACAGTACACACACACACATATATATATATATATATGCACATATGTACACATACCCAGTTGTCCCCTGGAAATCGAGGGTGAACACCGAGCTCGGAGGACCTTGATGCGGGAGGACTCGACGAGCGTGGCCAAAGGGCTGAAGCTGGCCCAGGCTCGTGAGAAGGATGGCTTCCTTGCCGCCGGAAAGGGCACACCCTTGTCTTCTTTTCTTTTCTTTTTGTTGCGCAAACCCCTCAACTGTGAACCCAAGTGCCAGAAAAGGGGCGCCGCGGGTTTTCCATGATTTCTGGGTTTCTGAGAGATTGTATTCGATTTCGCTTTGGGTTTAGCAATGGCGGCGGCAGTAACAACATGCTTTCCAAGCTTTGCAAAAACATTATTGTGCTAACAAAATGCGTGGCATGTGAGGCGTTCGTTGCACAAGGGATGCGCGCTGCAGAACGACGCACTTGGCAGCTTGAACGGATGCACTTGGGCGTGGGTTCCTAATGTTCGGCTTTCTCAGAGAAACTGGCCTGGAGCGACCGGCCCTCAAATCGCGTGCGACATGCATTTCTTTGGCGGCAGGGGCGGCTCTTTGCGCGGATGGTGCGCGGCGTACATGCGCGGTGCGCGGTAACAATGTTGTTTTTGTCTCAGTATGGCCGAGACAGTTTGTCTCGGTTTGCGCGCCCGCTCTTGAAATCTGGCACGTGCGTTGCGGCTCTCATTGAAGGCTCCTCAGTCGGGTTTTCTGGTTCAGGAGGAGTCGAGTCGAGAACTTGCAATGACGATGTTCAGGGACCGAACTTTGTCAAAAAAAAGGAACTTGGTCAGAGAAACTTCTCGGAGAACTTGCTCACAAAACTTGCTCAGAACCATTTGATCAGAGAACTTCCTCGAGCGCTCAGAAAACTCGGGCGCAGAAACGTGTTCACAGAAATTGCATAGGCAACTTGCACAGAGGATCTTGCTCACAGAGTTTACTTTCCTTGCAACTCGGTCAATTCTGCTTCAGGGCCGCCCGTCTCCTAGTGCATCCTTTTTTATCTGACATCTCATTTTGAGCAGATCCCTCGGATCGATGGGTCCCATTGCGCGAGGAAAGACGAAACTGGTTCGACACCATGATCGGGGTCCTCGTCCTTCTGCAGCTCGGTGAGTTTCTCAATCGATGTTATGGGTAAAGCGGCGATGACGGAGTCAGGAGCGAAGACTATGTAGGGCCTTTGCGGGATCCCAACTCTTTTTTCAGGTTTTGGGATGCTAGGACTTGCAACACGCCGAAGCCAATGCTGATGTAGAGCCACAAATTGTGGGTGGGCGAAATCCACGCCAGGCACCAGTGGGATTGCTGAAGCCCTAAGCGACGGAGTCAACTACCGGATCTTTGGGATAGGGACGGTCACCCAGGATTGAACCCCCGTTAAATTCCGATCGTTAAACCCGTAGAGGGATCACGGGGTGGGGGGGGCTTTCCGCCTCATTCGCAGGGTTGATCAATCGGGCTCGGTATTCGAAGTGCATAGGCGTGGTAAGCCCAGATTTTGCGGGATAGGCATGGTGATGGCCTGAGTGATGTTTTTAGACACCAATTGAAATGCCGTCCCTTGCTTGAGGAATCGGACCCCCCCAATATGGCTTTGATGTTCCCAGTTTCTCCAACAACAAAAAAACACCAAACAAGGGACACCGCCCAAAGAAGACGAGCCAGCTTCTGGCTTTCCCTTTTGGTTTTCCCGTGCGAGCAAGCTAAGGGGCAGCACCTGGCCAGCCGCATCCAAGCCATGGGGGGGGTAACCCCGGCCGGCCGCCGGCCGGCGGAGTCGGGAGCCGAGGAACGCCTTCGTGATGGTCTTGGACTTGGAGAGCCAGGGCAACGGCGCCGGCTTTCGGAGCGGGATCATCGAGGAGACGGCGTCGGATATTAGGCCTCAAGCAGCGGGGAACTTTCCTATGGTCAGGGGCACCCCCAAAGAGTGGAACCCCCAAAGGAGCCCTAAAAAACCCCGAATGGATCTGATTTGTCGCTAGCCTTGGGGGGCCTTTATTGGGTTGCCGGCAAATAAACACATGGACCAACATCTGTCTGGTTGAATTTTGACCCATGGCAGGGCCATGTTTTTTGGGTGAGCCAAGGGTATCGAAGCCCAGAAAGCGCTAGTTACCCAAAAGGCTATCTAGGCCAGGGTGTGTGAGTGTTCTTTGTTTGTTTGTTTTTTTGTTTGTGTTTGTTTTTGTGTTTGTTTTTGTGTTTGTGTTTCTGTCTGTGTGTGTTTTTGAGGCTTGGTGCCCGGAAAGCCAAGATTCCGTTGCCAAGGTCGCGGAAAAAGCTGGGCTTTGGGGTCCCAAGGATATCCACCTCAGGTCATGGTTTCCGGATTCCTCTGCCGGCGCCGGTAAGATGAACACCTCCGACTCGCGTGCATGGTTGCTGCAACATGTCAAGGCCGCAAAAAGTCGGTGGGCGCAGTTTTCTGGTCTCAGAGCCCCAGGCACCACCCTCAGGACCCGTCAGCGTGTTTTTTTTTTCTCAGACTGGGCTTGTCCCGGGGCTTGTGGCCGAAATTGCCAGGAGGATGTGTGGAGCGGCTTCTCGCAGGTGGTGCAGGCTGCGTTCATGCCAGGATATTGCGTATGCGTGTTTAACAAAATTGGGGACCGTCCAGGCAGGTGGTGTACTTGTGGTTTCCCTTTAAAACCATCCAAAAAGGGGTCCGATTCTTTTTTGAGAAGCCCCCATATGGGGGTCTGTCTTTTTTGAGGGCTGCGACTGTTGTTCGTGGTTTTGAAGGGAAACCGGAGGGAAAACCGAAGCCGTTTTTGGGAGCCCCCCAAAAAAACCAAACAAACCCATATCTTGCCCAAGAGTGCGCGAAATATGTGTCAACCACCAGCTGGCAGGCGATAAGAGGGTGCCAGTCGGGGGCCCGCTTTTGTTTAAATTCGTTTTCATATACATACATCCACACATCTTGTCAAAGCCTGGTAGAAACCCTTTGAGGGGCCGAATGAACCAATCTTAGTCCAGTTTGTCCAGTCCATTTTACGCCAGCTGTCCGCATCCCACGAGGGAAACCGTCTGAAACCTGAGAGCTGCAACCGACCGCTTACCAAGACTTCATCCACGCGGACGAACCGACCGTTCTAGCTGGCCATGTAGCTAGGTCCTTTCTGCGGGAAGGGTGGTTTCCCGGCAGGTGTTGGAGCACTTCTTTGCGGTAGCCTTCATCCTGGAGCTCATTTATCGGGTGGCCACGGAAAGGTTCAAGTACTTCAAGGAGGCGCGAATGGGGGGGGGGTTAGTGTTCGAGCAATGGTGAAGGGGAAGGGGGGATACTTGTTTGCCGTGCAGGGCTTCTTTTTCCCCATTTGCAGTTTGTCTCCTCAGCTGGAAGCCCAAATCAGCTCAGTGGTTCGGAGCGGCGCCGGGCCGTTCCGGGAGGTGCCACCTGGGCAATTATGCTTGAGAGGGGGGGGGGCCTTTGGGTCTGGGCTGGTTCGGAGCAGCTTTTAGGGAGGGTTTCGGAGCATTCCAGGATTTGAGGATACCACCTCAGCTTCTGTGTAATATATATATATATATTATATATATATATATATTGATACATACACACACACACACACACATATATATATATATAACACAAAGGGCCCTAACCTCGTTGAAGGCGCTAAGTATGAAACACAATCTGAACATGTAACTTTTTGGCGTACCCTACACTTGGGGGTGATGCGAGAGTGAAAGCAACAAAAGCATCACAAGCTTTTGTTTGGGAATCTTATTTTGCAGATACTCCTCTTTCGGGAGAGGCAACCCCCCCGTCAGCCAACAAGTAGGTGCCGCCCCGTCAAGAGAGCCCTCCACTATCGCAGTCCCTTGACTTCCCCTCTCAATCCAGGGGAAGGGTTGCAGGGGCTGCTGTTGTAGAAGCGGAATATGGGCAGCCACCGGCAGGGTGCCTTGTTTGAGGCTGGAGCCTCAAAGATGGTGGTGTTCGTTTAGGTTTTCCTTCACGACTTACAAAGAAGGGGTACCCTCAAAAAATGACACACCCACTTGTTGCAAAGCAAAGAATCACGCAACAACATCGCATGTTCAGGGGGCAGCATTTCCGGGTAACGAATCTTGAATCTGCATCTTAGCTCAGAGCGCAGTGACATGAGTCGGAACCTGTGTGTGAGGCACGGGAAGCATGGCACAGCTGTGTTTGTGTGCTTTGTTTTTCGGGCAGTGGCGTTTTCACTGGCTGCCGGGTCAATTTTGGGTATGTGACTATGTGTTAAACTACCCCCCCCCAAAAAAAACAAAACAAAAACAGAAAGCACAGGATTTCGGTTTTCCTTTTTGCATGTTGCATAGCCTTTTTCTGGTTCCAGGGTGAGTGGATGAAAGGGACAGTCGCCAAACACCGGCGCCGAGAGCCATGTCGATCCTTCATGGATTTTGGGTTGACCCCGGTTGTGATTGTCACTCAGTAACATAGAAGGGCTTGGGCCCTCATGGCCGGACTTTTGGGGACTCGCAAATCAGTTGAAGTGATGGAGGGCTGCCCGAAACAGCCATAGCATTGGAGCAAGGCAAAAGATGCATGAGGCGAAGCATCCCCTGCTTTCGCAGGGCTCCTTAAAAGAAATTCATTTTGCAACCATTTGAGTTACATGTTGCTTTTTCAACACCAACATCAAGTTGGAAAGCACTATTTACGATCGGTGTTTTTGATGCATGATCCCTGATTTCGTGGAAGGACAAATATCAGATCTCCCCCAAGAAAGAGAGGTTCGCCGCCCTGGCCTGGGTGTTTCAGAGCGTTTTTGTTTCCCCCCGTATTTTTATTATTTTGTTTTTCCTTTTTTCCCTGTTTTTTGTTTTTCGTTTTTTTATTCCCCCCGAGGTCTCGCCAAAAAGATTTGGCTCCCTGGCAGGCCATGAACGTGTTCGACAGCGCGCCTCGCCGGCCTCGCGGGACTCGATCGTCTTTGTCGGCGCTGGGGTGACGCGTTTTTTTTTGTTTTTTGTTTTTCTCGGGGAGGGCCCACGAACCAAACCTAGGTTCTCCAGGATCGTGCCCTTTCTCTCCCCTTTTTTGGTTGGGAGGGGCAAAGTTACCCTACTAAAATAGACGTCCTGAAAAAGTTGGTACTCTTATTCTAACCTCTCCACTGGAGGACCTAGAAACATGGGGCCAAATGGCTTTCTGTCAGTGTCTCGACCAAGAAATGCCCAAAATGGCACCGTAAGTAAAGGCGAAGACCCGTCTCTTGAATTAAACTTTGAGCAGCCAAATCACCACCAAGTTGCAACTTGGTTGGCCTGGTGAGTTCCATGTGGCCCGAGAGTGTTTCTTCGGCGCGAAGTTGCCTGTGGCTCTCTTTGAGGACGTCGGTTGCTGAAGGGACACCAACATCAAACAGCACCATTTTGGGGGTCCTGCATCTGAAGGTTTGTCAAACGTAGTTTGTTTTTGGGGTATCACCTTGAAAAGGCGGCACCGGGTCCCCAAAAGGGTCCATATGTTTGACCACACCCCATTTTTGAGACACATCCACATTTGCACCTCCTCGCTTTGCTGGGATTCTGAAGCGTCAAGCCTCGTTTCAGATCACCAAGAAGCGTCTGTGTGAGAATTGGTTTCTCAAAAGCCCCCGAGAAAGAAAAAAAAAAACCCAAAAAAAAAAACGAAAAGGCTCCTCTTCGTTGCCCCTCCTTTGGCCTAAGGTCCTAACAGGTTCACCAAGACCCGGCCCAAGTTTTTTTTTTTTTTTTTTTTTTTTTTTTGCGGGGGTCATGGAGCCAAGATGGCCTCTTCTTCTTTGTGGCGATCGACGCAAGATGCCGCAACAAGATGGAACCTTTCCAATGGTTCCCCCCCCCGTTCCCCCAAACCATCCCCAATTTTCTTGACAAGTAGGAGACAGGAGGTTCTGGGTTTAAGAGTTTCTCTGAGTCCGATATTTTCCAATTTGCAATGGAAGAAGCAAGTCCATGCAAACCCGGCAGGGTGAGGCGCCCTAAGCGCTTGGCCCCAGCCGCTTGTTTCGGTTGACGCCAGATGTTTGCCATGGGGTTGGTGCTTACTTCCAGAGAGGGGCGGCTGTGCCACGTGCTGCTTGGAGGTTCTAGTCATGCTGGCATGCGTCGACCTCTACATCCTGACTCCTTTGCTGACCACGTCGCTGAACAACACCACCACCCTGCGCCTACTGCGGACCATCAAGCTGGCCAGGGCCCTGAACACCGACCAAAAGGGGCTTCCCCCGTGTCAGGCGTGTTTCGGCAGACCTGAGCTGTGGTGTTGGATCTCATTTGGGCACCCGATCTCGATACGTAGCGACCTTGGCCGTGATCCCCGGAAGGGACAGAATGTCGGGATGCCAGGTGTTCCTTTGGTATCCCTGACCTGTCCTACAAAGGGGCCATCTGAGGTTTGGCCTATGCTCCATTGGGGAGAATGGACGGCTCGCAGGATATGGAACCATCCGACTCACTAAAAGGCAGAGGGAAGAGGTCCTCTTGGGGCAACGGACAATGGATTGATAGGGTAGTGCACTGTTTGTTCTTTGCCCTGGGTCCAAATTACATGTTGTCTCTTGGACTTTTTATGGAAGCCGAAAGGAAACCACGCAAATTTTCGGGTGTCTCTTCTCTAGCGGCTTTCCATTTTGGTGCCCGTAAGGCAGCCATCCACTGGGTTCCCGAACCTCGGAACCCCGAGGTTCGGGCCATCCGCATCGTGCGC